AAAGATGAGGCTGTGAATGCTTTTAGAATTTATAAGTCCGAAGTTGAAACTCAGTTGAATAAGAAAGTTAAAATGATTAGAAGTGACAGAGGAGGTGAATATGAATTTCCTTTTGAGGAAATTTGTACTGAGTTTGGTATCGTTCACCAAATGACTCCTCCTTATACGCCGCAATCTAATGGAGTGGCAGAAAGGAAAAATCGGTCTTTAAAGGAAACAATGAATGCATTGTTGAATGGTTCCGGTTTACCACAGAATTTGTGGGGGGAAGCTGTTTTGACGGCGAATTTTATTTTAAATAGAGTGCCCCACAGAAAAACACAACAAACTCCCTATGAGAAATGGAAAGGCAGAATGCCTAACTTGAATTATCTCAAAGTGTGGGGGTGTTTGGCTAAGGTTGCGGTTCCTAAGCCTAAAAAGGTTAAGATAGGACCAAAGACTGTTGATTGTGTTTTTATCGGATATGCTCAGAATAGCAATGCATATCGTTTTCTTGTTCACAAGTCAGAGATCCCAGATATACATGTTAATACGATAATTGAATCAAGGGACGCTTCGTTCTTTGAAAATATATTTCCGTATAACATAGTATATGAGCCAATTGATAATAATAAGAGGTCTCGAGATACTATATCTAGAAATGATCCAATTGAGGATGAACCTAGACGTAGTAAAAGACAAAGGACTTCCACGTCTTTTGGACCTGATTTCTTAACGTATCTGTTAGAGAATGAGCCTCGGACATTCAAAGAAGCTGTGACTTCGCCAGAAGCCCCGTTCTGGAAAGAAGCTATCAATAGTGAAGTTGAATCCATCTTGTCAAACCATACATGGGAATTGGTTGACCTTCCTCCTGGTAATAAACCACTACAATGTAAGTGGATTTTCAAGAGGAAAATGAAAGCGGATGGTGCTATTGATAAATATAAGGCTAGGCTTGTAGTAAAAGGATACAAGCAACGAGAAGGTCTTGATTATTTTGATACTTATTCACCTGTTACTAGAATTACATCCATAAGGATGCTAATTGCCATAGCAGCGGTGTATAAGCTTGAAATCCATCAAATGGATGTTAAGACGGCCTTCTTAAACGGGGATTTGGAAGAAGAAATATATTTGGAACAACCCGAAGGGTTCATTGTTCCAAGTCAAGAGAAGAAAGTATGTCGGCTTATCAAGTCACTCTATGGATTGAAACAAGCACCGAAACAATGGCATGCTAAATTCGACCAAGTCATGTTGTCGAATGGTTTCAAGATCAATGAGTGTGATAAATGTGTATATGTTAAGAACACTCATAATGGTTTCGCCATTTTGTGCTTATATGTAGACGACATGCTTATAATGGGCAGCGATAGTGAGGTTGTTAAGGCGACCAAACGCATGCTCACGAGTAAATTTGATATGAAAGATATGGGGGTTGCAGATGTTATTTTAGGAGTTAAAATCCATAAAACATATGGAGGATTAGCTCTATCACAATCCCATTATATTGAGACGATTCTTGGAAAGTGCAAGAATCTAGATATTGTACCGGTAAAGACTCCGATAGATGTTAATTTACATCTTTCGAAGAATACTGGTGAAAGTAAGGCTCAAAATGAGTATGCTAGTATACTAGGCGGTTTAATGTATGTCATGAATCGTACTAGGCCGGACATAGCTTGTGCGGTTAGCAAGCTAAGTCGATTCTGATTAGTCCAAATGAAAATCATTGGAAAGCAATGAAACGTTTATTGGGCTACTTAAAGCATACTCAAGATTATGCTTTGCATTACACGTATATCCAGCGGTACTTGAAGGATACTGTGATGCAAATTGGATAACCGGCACTAAAGACACAAAATCGACAAGTGGATATGTATTCACACTTGGGGGAGCGGCAGTGTCTTGGAAATCATCCAAACAAACTTGTATTGCAAGATCCACTATGGAATCAGAATTTATTGCTTTGGATAAAGCCGGTGAAGAAGCAGAATGGCTTCGAAATTTCTTGGAAGATATTCCTAATTGGCCTAAACCAGTGCCCGCTGTATGTATACATTGTGACAGTCAAGCGGCAATAGGAAGAGCAAGGAATGTCATGTATAACGGTAAGTCTCGACACATACGTCGAAGACATGACACAGTAAGACAACTTCTCTCTAGTGGAATTATCACCATTGACTATGTGAAGTCAAAAGATAATATTGCGGATCCATTGACAAAAGGCCTAACTGGAGAGATGGTTGCAAAAACATCAAGGGGAATGGGTTTAAGGCCTATAAACAAGTCATCATAGCGGAAACCCTACCTAGTTGACTGGAGATCCCAAGATCTAGGTTCAAAGGGACAACTAAGTTATGAAGACGAGTGTAGAATCTTGTTAAATTTTTACTCATTCCGGATGAAGACAAGACTAATATGTGAAGGTTAAGCAAAAGCTTTTAATGATTCTGAATTGAGTATGTGATATACTATATGTTCAGAAATCACCTATGTGAGTGTGAAGTGAGGGCCGCTTCTGTGAGAATTGAAAAGGCCGAATTCTCTAAAACACTCATGAGACCAGGCGGTGTTCATGGCCAAAACGAACACAACAGTGAGAACCAATTTTGTTCGAGAAACAGTTGTGTGATTTCTCTTGTCTAGGCTTACACCAAAGGTCGACAGGTTCAAAGACATCAAGTCTTCGATTGACGAGTAAGTCCGATAGGTTTCACTAAGGAAAGTTCAAGGTCTCAGACTACTTATCCTGATGCAACGTTTTCTCATGGAATAATCGGACATTGCATCTCATGCATACACAAAGAGTCATGATATCTGAACTTCTCATTCATGTGGGGGATTGTTGGGATTTTGGAACCAAAATCCCATAGAATTGAATGAGAAGTGTGTGGGTGAAAGTGTCCCACATAGGGTAGAAGAGAGATGGGAGATGGGTTCAAATAGTTGAGCCTCACAAATGGGTTTGGGCCCCAAGGGGTACCCCACTTTTGTGGAAGAGAGAGGACCTACGTCAAGCTAGGTCGGTCCACCCCCCGCGCGCCGCCGCCGTCCGTCCGGCTCGGCTCGGTTCGGTTCCGGGTCCACTCTCTATCGGTTTTTTATTTTTTATTTTTTGAATAGACACGTTGTTTATAAATTATTTATTTATTTATTTATTTTTGGACAAACAAACATGTCTGTTCGTGAGGTTCGGTTCGCCCGAACGAAAACCGAAGCCCTTCGCGCCTGTTCACGAACCAAACCGGTTTAAGGCTCGGCTCGTGACTGTTCACATGACCGAACAAAATTGTTCGGTTGGTGACTCTTCGGTTTCATCCTTCTATAACCGAAATTCCTTGATGACTATTCATTCATACATGACCGAACGAAGTACTCTTGGCATTTCATATTTTCGCGGCATTCTGCTGCACTCTCATTCTTCATCATTGTCATTTCGTGCGATTGTTCTGCAAAATTGCGTTCGTTGGAGTCCTCCGAATACGTATCACTTCGGAGGTTCGAGATCCGTTCTATCCTGGGAGACGATTGTCCAATATCCTCGGGTATTGATTGAGGGGCCAAATTCGTCTTAAGGACACGACGTTAATTCGTTGGGCTCGGATCAACATTCTGCTTATTTGGTTGTACTGCTTTCAGGTTAGTTTTCCTAACGCTTGATTTTAATTTCTGATATACGAACTTAGCCGAACAACAGAAGCCCCCCACAACCAGACCCGAACAAGATACAAAGAGGGAGTCGAAGGGGCGTGAGTCTGAGTATTGATGGTGGGAGGCCGTTGGTGGGTGCGCACTGGTAGAGGGCTGTTGTCGGTGATTGGGCGACATGACGATGGCGTCAATCGCTATGCTGGGGCGGTGGTGTGATGGAAGGAAGAGAGGAGGGTCGTGGGGGATTAAGTCATTTCTTTTTTCTTCGACTATACTATGTTATTTTCACATGTGGGTAACCGAGTGCATGTATTTGATCAACTAAGAGAAAGGGAAGAAGGATAGACTTTTATGTGTTTTTTTGTTTCTTTTTAAATTTTCAAGTTTTTTTTTATGTGACGGTTGGTGAGCGCTACATTGGCGCCATGTATCTTAAAAAAGTAATAATAAAAGTCACATCGGTATTTTTCATTAACTAAATTAGAGATTTGTTAGGATTAGGGATTTGTTAAAGTGACTATCCTATGATAAATTACTAGGTAAAATTCTCATGTGAGCATGCCACATGGCTCAATTTATGTGAGCTTTACCCACTTATGTATGTCATCATCAAAATCAATCACCATTGAATTTAATTAACTAACAACTACATTGGATTCTTTGATATGCTTAACAATCGACGAACCTTCGCCCATCTTTAAGTAAAACATCCATCGCATCAAGTAAATATTGTTGATTGCATAGGGCTTTTCGTACAAGTATGACAAGGCATTCATCATTCCTGCAATACTTCTCTGATGTCAAACATGACATTATGAGACAACATCTATTGGATAACACTTAGCAATTTGTCTATTCATTCACCAAAGCCAATTATCATGCTTCATCGACTCTGCCTTCACCCCATACACTGGTAAGTGTATTTTTCTTTGGTACAAATTATCCTCAATCTGCGTTTCTCAGAAATCAAAATTTTTCTCTTCAAATTTATCGATTTTCACTTTTCCTTCTTCTATTACGAACCATTCACTTCAAGTCAATCAAGCTTGGCTTTGATATCGATTGTTGCGAAAAACAAATGATTGAACACGACAACAAACAAAATAAGGAAATTAATTGGAGATCGGATTCACGTTGTTTGGTTGGTGTGATATTAAGCGATACAACGAAGAATATTACCATACTCAAGTTATTCAAATACCGTCAGTGTTTAACAGCCTCCGGTTACACTCAATAATCTTAGTGTTTAGCCTCACACGATTCTTCGTGAAACAATCACTCAATCTTATAGAGAAATATACAAGATCTTACCCAAAAGATTTAACCTGCTTCAATGCTCTCGGATTGCTTCGAGACGCAATTCACGAGAAAGCCCCCTCTAACTTCTGCACATAAGGCATAAAGACCCACTCTACAACATTCACCATCTGACGAAAGAGGAATAATTCGTATATGAATCATGCAAAACCCTTGGTCAAAGTCAGACCAAGATTTCCTAATTTAAGTCCTCTTCTCACTCCCAAAGTCCAACATTGCTTTGGACTCTAACATGGAAAAGGATTCGGACTTGAAGAAGGCGGTCACAAAGTCAAATTCGAACTTTCTTTGTACAGCTAGACTTTCTGCATTTCGATTTGGGTTGGGTTTTTGTCCATGTTCTCAAACTTGAGATATATTTTAACAGATGTTAAAAGGTCTCCGCACTGCAGGGCATATGCTGGCTTAATACATATACAATTGAGGATAACATTCAACTATTACTTTCTAATGGAAATGCGTGATTGATTCTCTATTCTACTACACATTTTATATGTATGTTTGCACTAGCATAAACAAAAATAAAATTTTAAGAAGAGAGAGCTTAGGAAATTATCATATCACTTGCAGTCGTTCATCTTATTCACGGAAACCCAACGCAAAGAGTTTTTCTCTAATCTTTTGCAGCTGATTTGCAACGCCACCAATGCTCATCCTTCTTCGAGGCACTTCATTAGATCAAGCAACTCCAATATTATATACCATAACCAAACACTCTTGAAATATGCCATCGCTTTTGGAAAGCCAATGCTAAGGATTGTTAGGCTCAAAACGACTCTCTCTTTCTAGAGGCAAAATGTGATCTGTAATTGCTAACACTTGTTTAGGCAAAGCTACTGCGACAAAATTATGGAGAGTCATATTGTCTTTGAATCTGTCGTTGGTGGGACTCAATCCTGTGAACATCTCTAGTAAGAGGACGCCGAAACTGTAGACATCGCCTTCTCTCAAGACCTCGCATCCCATTGCATATTCTGCCATGCATTTAGAATATAGTGCAGATGAAATTAGCTGTGCCTATCATAAAAAAGAATGTGGAGCTCAGATCATTAGAATAGAAGTAGAGGGATTACCTGGTAGAGCATAACCAATTGTCCCTCTTAGGCCCATAGAGCTCATATGATTAGCTATAGTATCAAGGGATGATCCAAGAGGGAACTTCGCCAATCCAAAGTCACCCACATGCGCAACCATATGAGCATCTAAAGGAACATTGCTCGGCTTTAGATCACAATGAATAATAGGGTTGTGGCACTGGTGATGAAGATAATCCAGTGCAAAAGCAACACTAGTAGCAATATTTATCCTCTCAATGAAATTCACTTTTTTCGGAGGCTCGTTTTCATGAGATGGTGTTGCGTTTGGGTGTAACCACTGTTCTAGGCTTCCATTGTCCATGAAGTCATATACTATGGCCTTAAAATCATTTCCTTGATAATCAACACCCGAGCATACTGTCATTATCTTCAAAAGATTTCGATGTCTGATGTTTCTTAATACCTCGCACTCAACTATGAAACTTTTCAAAGCACCGCGACCCACTAAATGAAGCACCTTCACTGCAACATTAGTCCCATTGTCCTCAAGTACTCCCTTGTAAACAGAACCAAAGCTTCCAACACCGACCAAATTGGTTGAAGAAAAACCATTGGTTGCTTTTAGGATTGTTCCATAAGATATGTTCGGACATAAAACATCAATAGAACTTGAAACCAATTCCGGTACTTGCTTCTTACACCAAGAGAGATATAGAATAGCAAGAACTAGAGAAATTACGAGAAGGCCACAAATAACAAAAGCGGACAATCTCAATACATGATGGACTTTTCTACTCTTGGAGCTACCGGAGATGCATTTAGGAAGCTGAAATTCTGGCAATCCACCGCAAAGCTTAGCATTCCCAATAATAGAAGTAGTGGTAGCATTCTCAAAGACTCCTTCACGTGGTAGCATGCCTTCGAAATTATTGTAAGACAAATTCAGAACCTTCAAAAACCGAAATACCTCCAAGAATTGTGGAATTTCCCCGGAAAAATTGTTGTGTGAAAGATCTAGTTCTTCAATGCCTCTTAATGATTTGATCGATTGAGGAATGGACCCGTGGAAGGAATTGTCCCCTATCCTCAATGATACCAATGCAACACAATCACCTAAACTATTTGGAATTTCACCTCCTAACATATTTTCGGAGATGTCCAATGCAGTTAAAAATCTCAAGTTGCCTACTTCCATGGGTAAAACTCCAGTGAGATGGCTATGAGACAAGTCCAAAAGGTTGGTTAATGATGAAATACCCATAATTTGTGGGGGTATGGTACCATTGAGATTGTTACTAGAAAGATCGAGCACGTTTAAAAATTGGCAGTTAGACAGTTCTAAAGGGATTTGATCTTAATAGTAGAGTCAACTTGGTTTGATTTCCTAGAGAAGATGGGATTGTCCCTCCTAGGTAGTCATCATTTAACTGCACTACCGACAAATTTCGTAGATTCCCCAAATTCGACGGGAGAACACCTGAAAACTTGTTTCCATTCATAATCAATACTTCGAGGTTCACAAGATTTTCAATCTGTCTAAAAATTTCTCCAAATATTCGATTCTGACTCACATCAAATATTGTGAGGGTGGTGGATAAATTACCTATGCATTTCGGTAGCACTCCGTCGAAACTGTTGCTAAAAATAGACAATGCTTCTAACTTCGTGGCATTTGTCAGTGAGCAAATGAAGTTCAAGTCTTGGTGTTTTCCATACCCGAGCTGATTTTGGAAATTGGTGAACTTTTGAAGCTCGTGCATATTTTCCAAAGAAGGCATTTTACCTGAAAGTTTGTTCGTTGCAAGTTGAAGTACCTCTAGCTTTGTCCAATTTGATATTGACGGAGGAACCTGTCCCTCAAATAGGTTCATAGAAATGCTGAAAAACTCAAGATTTGGAAGCGTAAAGCCTATGTCTGCAGGAAGACTCCCTCGTAATTGGTTGTTTCCTACATCGATGCTGATTAAAGAAGAGAGATTCAAAATTCCAGTTGGAATTGGACCTGAAAGTTTGTTTACTCCCACATCAAAGTTTTGAAATTTTGGCAGGTGGCCTAAGACCGGAGGAATGCTCCCAACCAAGTAATTTTCCGTAAGAGAAAGCCACTCTAGTGAAGATAAGTTCCCAATGGAGGAAGGCATGCTCCCTGTTAGATTATTTCTATACAAAGAAAAAATCCGTAGATTCGATAACGAAGCGACTTGTGTAGGAATTGTTCCGGTTAGTTGATTATAATTAAGAATGAGGGTGACAAGCTTAGAGCAAGCTGAAATGTTTTCAGGCTCACCAACCAATGAATTGTACTCTAGTTGCAAGATCCGTAGGCGGCTCAACCGGCTGATTTGCGGAGGGATTTCATGATCGAAGTTGTTGTTTCCGAGCGACAATTCTCTCAAGAAGCTGAGGTTCCCAATATAAGGAGAGATCGACCCAGAGAGTTTGTGCGAATGTAAGTCCAGTACGGTGACCCTTTGGTGCCTGCGACCGCAGGTGACACCATACCACTGACAGAACCCCATGCTATCATTCCACAAGCTGAGCACATTGAGAGGATCCTTAGCTATTCCGGCCTTAAATGCAAGCAGAGATAGCTTGTCGGTTTCGTTTGTGGTAGAGGAGACTTGGGTAATGCACAACGCGAGCACAATACCAACAAGGAAATGGCATGATTGAAACTCTGCAATGCTAATGCTTCGAGGTTCCATAATTTGAAAACTGAGAAGAAAGAAGAGAAATTGGTACGTCCTAACTCAATTAGACGTGAAGAGATTTATAAATCATATGGAGGTGGCCCTTTTTGCGTCGACAGCTAGTGAAGGAGACCTGTCAACCATCAATCACGGACTTGTTTACTCCACAGGATGGGGCACTCATATGGAGGTGGCCCTTTTCCATGTAAGCACATTGACAACAGGTCCTCAATTTGTGAACAATAGACACTGTACAGCTGTGTATGCTCACATCTCAAAATTGACTTCTGACCTATAGTTGATAATTACTCCGCGTGATTAATAACTTTTGTATGAAAATTAGATAAGTGATTATACTAAGGGGCGAACTCAAAGTCTTGCTCTGGCAATAAACATTTATAATAAGTCGGTCTTTCAACATGGTAACTTTTTACCATGAAAAGTAGGTGTGTGCATATCAATGACTACTAATTTTGTCACGATGAAAAGTAACTTCACTTTCAAACTATTTAAATTCAGTAACTTCTCCACGCTAATGTTCACTTTCTATTTAGAGAAGTAAGGTTGAGCATCTTGGTGGCTAGTAATTTCTTGATGGAGTTAGTAACTCAAAATGACCTCTCACATGGACCGAAATCATTCTAATAATTAACAAGATGTCAATAATACGACAATCATTTTCATCTTCCTGGCTACCCTTGCTGATGCACTACGTTCAAATTGGCAACATTTGCTCTCTTGCTTTTTAGAAATATCACAGAGCACATTCATCCTCTCTATTTATTTGTTCTTCATAGGATTTGCTCTTTCAAGGTTAACGCCAGTGATGCTATCCCGTTGAAACTTGAAGATCAAGCTTTGACGATCTCCTTCTAAAAAGGCAATGCTCAACACATGTTCTCCTTAGAGAAAGCCAACGGTCAAATTGGCGAGTGCGTGATCGGCGTCGGAGACAATTGATGTCCTTGGATCCGCGACAGTCGTATCTTGTGGAATTGTCGCACACAACATCGTAGTCATTACAAGATTTCTTTTACCACTTATCAAGCGTTTACTTGCATCCCAAAAAATCTATTTTTCAGTCCATGAGGATCAATCTATGCCATCTTCAGAGAGTGGAGACGGGTTATCCAGAAATGCTGCCTGAGGTGAATGTACATGTCTCTCTTTTACTTGCATGATTAGCATATATCCCTTGAATGAGTTCTTCATTATGTATGTTATCTACTCTATTAAATAATTCATAACAATTGTTTCTTCTAATTGCACGTTATTTATGCAATTCAACAGTTTCTAAAATATTCCTGTTGCACTACATGCTCGTGTTTTCCTTCCCATGTATTAAGAAAATACTACCTACATATGACTTCTTCAAAACTTATTATGGTAATAATATTAGGGCAGCGCTTCGGTTATCCATAGCTTAAGGTACTGTTGTCGAGAAATTTATGATGAACTCAGACATGCGGGACCGATTGTGGAGTGGTATGACCTAATCTGGACCAACGGTATTAGCAAACACAATTTTATTGGCTGGCTCGTTTGTAGAAACAGACTACTGATAGCAGAAATTGTTGTCCAATGGATGACCTCAATTGATATCCAGTGTAACTTCTATAAGGCCGATATAGAAGACATAACACATCTATTCTTCCAGTGTGAGTGGACAGGCAGTTTATGGCGCAGTATCCTTGCGCAACAGGGGATTAGGTGTCCATTGGAAGGATGGAATGAGGAACTTCAATGAATGATTACGGCAACAAAGGGCAAAGATTTGGCGGCTAGACTCCTTAAGGTATCATTTCTAGCAACCATTTATGGCATATGGATGGAGCGCAACCGAAGACGGTTTTAAAACAAGTCAACTGATATTCATATTATTTTGGCCAACGTGAGTAAAAATGTAAGAGGTAGAGCTTCACTCTACCAAAACATTAGACCTTCTTAGACAAATGTTGTATTGGCTACTATATGGAGACTTCCCATCTCCATCTTCTTGAGCCATTAGAACCATTTGTAATGCTGGGGGATACCCCTAAGCTGCTGTACTTCATTCACTCTATAATACTGACATTTTACACACAAAAAAAATTATTAGGGCGGTGCTATTTGCACACCTTATCTAACAAAAAAAATCATGAGATACATGAAGATTCGTTCATAATTTTACTAGAAAATTGTCCAAAAAGTCATAAACCTATTATACTAATTTAATCTTAAACTTTTTCATTTTGTTAATTGAGTCTTAAATATTTTCACTTTTTGTTAATTGAATCCATTCGGCCAATTTTAGCCAAAAATTGCTAATGTGGACACTAGGGATGAGCGGTTCCAGGTTTCTTACAGGTTCCACATGGAACCTGAAACCTACCATCGGGTACAGGTTTCTCATTTTTTGGAACCTAGAACCTGCCGGTCGGAACCTGGAACCTGGAACCTACCTTGTCACAGGTTTCAGGGTCTAGCAGGTTTTTTTTTTATTGCATTTTTAGTTAAACAAAACAAAAATGAACGCAACAATATTGAACAAGCTTGTTATTCATCAAAGAGAATACAAAATACTAGTTTTTCTAGCATTATAGTTCAAATAAATATAACTAAAATGAGAAATCATTTCGTGAATTGATACTAGGGGTGAGCAGTTCCATGTTCCGTATAGGTTCCACCCATAATAATAGGTTCCTCATTTTTTGAAGAAAAATGGAAAAAGCCTATAAAATCAGTTTTACATCTAATGCCCAAGCTGAAAAAGGGAAATGTCATTACTTTGGTGTCAAGGGGCACTAGAAGAGGAATTGTAACAAGTACCTCACAAGCTTGAAGGTTAAGCCAAAGGACTAGCCTTGTGACGGTATTGTGTCTATGCTTATTAAGACTAACCTTACGGTTGGTTCTGAATCTAGCTTATGGGTTCTAGATCTAGTTGCAACTTCACATGTTTGTATGTCCTTGTAGAATCTGAAATTAAGCGGGATGGTGGGCAAAATGAAATTGTCTTGACATTTGCAAATGGAGCAAGAGTTGCTGCATTAGCCATAGGGACTTTTTGTTTGTATTTGCCCTCTGGACATGTATTGATTTTGAATAATTATCTGCATTACAAGAATGCGGTTCATAACCTCATCCCTATACCTCGTTTGAGTAAAGTTGATGATGATGTATGTTCCATTTATCACAGTAAACGATGTGTTAGTTCTGGTTTGTTAACCAATAATCTTTATACCATTACAATGTCTGGTAATGTGATTACCAATGTCAATAAGCAAAATAATATAAATGTCATAGCCAATAAACGGCCTAGAGATAGTCCAAACCCGAAGTATGTTTGGCATCGCCGATTAGGTCATATTGGAGAAGATAGGATCACCAAGTTAAGTGAAAAAGGATACATTGATCTATCCGGCTTTGAGTCGTACTCAACTTGTGAGGCATGTCTTTTATGAAAAATGACAAAAACGCCCTTTGTAAGACATAGTGTGCAAGCTGCTGACATAATGAGTTAGATACATAAGGATGCATGTGGACCACTTAATGAATCAGCAAGTGTTGGTTATTTTTACTTCATTACCTTTACTGATGTTCTATCACGGTATGGTTATTTATATTTAATGAAGTGTAAATCTGAATTCTTTGAAAAGTTCAAGGAATTCAAGGATGAAGTTGAGAAATAGATGGGAAAGAGTATTAAGGCTCTTCGATATGATAAAGGAGGTGAATATCTTAGTGCTGAGTTCCTAAACCATCTTAAAGACATTGGCATTTTATCACAATGGATACCTCCCGGAACTCTAGAACATAATGATGTGTTTGAGAGAAGAAATCGCACTTTATTAGATATGGTATGATCTATAATAGGTTACACCGATTTGCCAATATACCTTTAGGGATATGCCCTTGAGACAGCTACATATATGCTAAATAAAGTCCCGACCAAGGCCGCTCCAATTATGCCCTATGAGATATGGCATGGTAAGGAATCGAGTCTCAATCATATTAAGATTTAAGGTTGTCCAGCTTATGTAAAAAAGCTGAAAATGGACAAATTAGAGGCTAGATTTGAACAAGTTTTGCTTCATTGGGTATCTAAAAGAAATACTATTTCTATTTTGGGTTAATATCACGAAAAACACTAAACTGGTATACATGTGACAAATTTACCTCTAACTAATTTTTTAATCACAAAAAATTCTAAACTGGTACACCTGTGACAAATTTACCCCTAACTAATATTTTGATCGCCAAAAATCCCAAACTGGTACACTTGTAACCAAAATGATAACAAGTGCTATTTGCACAATTTTATGCTTGATTTGTTGCCAACCATAACTGTCTTACTTGTGCTAAGATACAAAGTTGCACAATTTGCCAGTGCACCATCTCATTTAAAGAGCGAGCTTATAAAAGATGGCAAAAACATCCAAACCATCCACTCCACGCAATCCCACAAGCATATTCCCAAACATCTTGACAGATATAGTGTTAAAGGTACCAACAAGAGCCAGCTTCTCATAAAACGATGATACTAGCATACGAGTTTCGGAGAGAATGAGGGGTGACTCCATGTAGAGGGATCGAGCAGGCTCGTGGCCAAGTAACTCTCGATTTCAACACACAAGAAATATAAAACTAATTTGTCAGGCAAATTTATATCGACTGAAGATTCAATATAAAGAGAATCCCGAAGAGAGAGCTTCTACGGACTGCACCAAACCATTGGAAAGTAGAAACAGATAATCTGCCATGGTTTTAGTGAATATTTGCAATTAGTTTCCCATCTCACAAGTATAAGGTAGAAGCATCCAATAAGTCAATCTGCCATCAATGTGCACCACCAAATGACCATGCAAAGCAACAACTAGACTTAGCCTTGAAACGGGACTCCATTGTAGTTTTAACCAGTGAAGTTGACAGACGAAGATGAGAGCACGACATCATCGAAGAGAGAGACTTAAACTGGCGCCCAAAATAAACCAACTATACCAAAAATACCCCCAGGAGAAGCAAAAAGTAAAAGC